GCAAGTGGATCGGTTTAGATCGCAGAGGAGGAACTCTCGTAAAAATTAATGGCCTTGGTCGCCGGTTCTCGTCGTCGGGGTGGCGCTTAACTATCTTTGGAACTCGAGAAGCAAAGACTCCGAGCGTTCGGTTCTGCGACGAGCGAGTGCTGTCCAAGGCTGAGAAGGAGGAAAAGAGGAAAAGAGGAAAAGAGGAAAAAACTTGTCCCATGGCACGATTAGTTCTCTTCTCCTGTTACGCCACGCAGTCTGTGTTACGTTGTTTCGCGGCTCGTGACGGCTGACATTCTTTGCGAGGGCTGCAGAAACGAACCCGCCTGTTGCTCGACCCACCGCAAAGCCGCCAAGCTTTCTTTCTCTCTCCCTCCTTCCATAGGGTTTCCAATGTGTCCGACACCGCGTTTCGATCGCATTATACATCGTGCGCTATATATCGCATTGCACGATATATCGCGTTATACGGCACGTGCATGTACGAACGCGCAGCGTCCACAGTTTTCTCAGGCGAACGTTACTCGGTACCGTTTAGTTTTCCAGGGTGGAACGATTCCGCGGCACGGCACGACCGATCGTAAAATCGCAAATGCTTTGTCCGATAAGGAACTCGAAGGATAATTCGTCGCTGCTGCCTCGCGCGTTTTCGAGTTCACGATCGGAGACGAGGAATCAAAGAAACGTAAGGGGTTGCGAGTGATCGTTTCGATAATTGACGTTGCCCGAGATTCATGGGCCATTTTTCTTTTTTCGGGACTCTGGTCTCCAGGCAGGTTGGGGAGAGTTAATGGGGCCAAACGAATCCGGGACTGGGGATGAACGATATTCGACCGCCTGTAAAAAACACGACGGAAACTCGATACCGTTCTCTATAGACTAGTGGAATGGATTTGACTAGAACACGAATCGTAGTGTCCGTGACAGTTTCAGAAACGTCACGCTCTCTTGCAGCCTTTGGTAGACTTTTCGTGGCGTATTCGTGGCGTATTCTTGGTGTATTTTTGGCGTATTCTTGGCGTATTCTTGGCGTATTCTTGGCGTATTCTTGGCGTATTCTTGGCGTATTCTTGGCGTATTCGTCGCGTATTCGTCGCGTTAGACCCATTCGTTTCCGGTTAGGTTTATGGCTCGTGGTATACCTTTTTCCTTTTGGCATCCAACCCTCCCACCCTCCTCGCGTACTTCCGCTGCTCGAGCGGTCGGTATTGTTTCCTCGTTCTGGGCTTTGTCGCCAACGATTCAACCACGGCCCGTGTTCTTCTCCTTCCCTCCGTTAATATTTGCCTTCTTCTCTTCTTTCGTCGAAATTTACTCCGACGCGCGTCGAGAGTTCGCGTTTCGTTTCAGGTTATTCGGTTTACTCGACTTTCTTGGTTTCTTCGTAGAAGCTCGAGGATTCGAGGTGGAATCGCGTCGGCGCGAGAGAAAGATGGGCGATCGCGATTCGTTTGAGCGACGACGCGCGTCATCGAATAACGTTGGGTCGGGCGAGACCTCTACCAATTCATGGTTTTCAGATTCGTTCGGAGCAACGTCCAAGATAAAGAAGAAGAGAGTAGCCGAGATAAAGGGGGTTACCGACCCCTCCCCTCTTTCGCCTAACCGTTCTTAACGGACTAACTGCCCCGCAACCCGTGGCTCGTAGCCCGTAGCCCGTAGCCCGTAACTAGCAACCCGCGACTCGCGACTCGCAATTCGTAGCACGAGTCCCAGTTCTCGCTCTTTCGATTCCTTCTTCGAGTTGGACTCGACACGATGTTCGCTCGATGTACGCGAGCAGGGGGATTCGATTCGATTCGATTCGATTCGATCCGATCCGATCCGATCCGATCCGATCCGATCCGATCCGATTCGATTCGGCGAGTCGAGCATCCGCCGATAAATAGACGAGCACGTTGAAACTCCACGTCGTCGACTCGTTGGCTGCGCGATCGGTTCATCGAGACGCGCGTCTCGCCAGACGAGCCGATCCTTTGACCGTTGAACGAGAAGCGAGCAGTGGTTCGATGTCGAGAAACGAAGCAATAGGAGACGAGCTCTTTTTACAAGCCGTTAAGTTCAAGACGAAGAATGATTTAGGGGCCCGAGAGGATCTCGAGCAATATCTTGGTTCGTGTAAAAAACGAACCGTTCTTCTGTATCGTTCGACCATAACAACCGATCGTTTCGTACGAATACGTTCATCGGAGATGTTGGAAACCGAAATAACGGAGCTTGTGCCGGATACGTAAAGGTTGACGAGGTTCAGCATCAATTCGCGACATTCGTCGAGTCGCGAGGCGCGTTGTTCCGATCGGTTTATCTTGCGAAATCGTTCGATCACGGTTACACGGAAAAGAAGCTCGCGTTTCGCGGTCGCGTGCCATCGTCTCGATGCCGCCAACTTTTTCTATCGGCCCGCGAAATATCATCGAGCGATACGCGACCGTTCGGATCACTGCGCGTTCGTAAACGTACCTTGAGCGAGAAACGATAACGTCACGGATTCGTTGATTCGATCCCTTGGTCCGTGAGCAGGTAACGCTTTCGCCTCGTGCCTCGCTAATCCTTCGGGTCTGTGTCGCGTAGTCGAATCGAATCGAATCGAATCGAATCGAAAGAGTAACGAGGCAACGAAAAAGTAAGCCAACGAGTAAGCAACTATGTATAGACGATGCTGGGCTGAGAATGAGTCGGGAGGAAGAGGTGAAGGAGGAATAGGAGGATCACAGAGGTCGAGATAAAGAAGCTATTCAATCTTTGAAAATCTCGTCATAAACCGCATCGATATGCGTCGTCTGGCCGCTCGCGTCGTGGATAACAGAGAGTGTTTTTATGGGTCCAAGAAGATAAGGGAGTCACCTTTGCCCCCGATGTACTAAACGTCTTCCGCTCGATCAGCAAGACGGAATCGGCCGCTACCGTTCCTGTTAACCGTATTACCTTATATTCTTTCATTTCCGATAGCACGCGAAACACGGCTGCGCAAACGAATCGACGAATCGACGAATCGGCGAATCGTCGATCGTTCGAATTTGCCAGCACGCCAAAGAAATTCTGCTTGGATTTTTCGCGTGGATTCATGGATCGCGGAGAAAGCAAGAAACAGATAAAAGTGTCGCGAATTGTAGTTGAATACGACAGCAGCTTTGGAAGAAGGAGAAGGAGAATGAAACGGGGGAGGAGAAGTAGAAGGAGAAAGAAAAGAAGGAGGAGGAGATTCTTCGACACGGCTTCGATCGAATATTTTCTTGGTCGAGTGATTAATCGGGGTCGCGGCATTACGTCTCCGCGCCTGCTCACCACCTCGCTCCCTCGGCTACTACACAAGTAGTCTCGTCGCGGATTCGTTTGTACCACGCGCAACAATGGAGCTTCGTCTTCGATAAACCGCATCGATCGGTCGCGATCGAGTGTACCAGACCGTTTCGCGCATGGCCGAGTTACGCACCGTACGCGTTCGCCTCTCGGTAATTCGCCGCGACAACACGGATGGGATTGCTCGCATTTGAACGCAACATTTTGCGAAAAATATGTTTCTTTTTTTTATTACAATTTGCCCTGAAACGAACCGTCAGATAATCCGGTGAGCCTGACCTTTCCAATTCGATTAGGTAACGTCAATAAGGTCGGCTCAATGTTAAACGGTTGATACTTGGGCTTCGGGGGAGATATCGTTCACTCGTTTACGAGTATTACCGACGCGAGTTCGCAACCGATGTCGAACCTACGAAACGTTACGCGATCGAGGCGCGCGCGCAGTCGGCCATCGTCGATCGTTTAAGCTTGATTTAAACGAATCCGAATGGTGCGTTAGGCAGGCAACCGAAGAAAAAAAAACTGACCGGGGGGAATATGGGAGTAATCGAAATCTGTATACCGCGTAGGTTAGTCGTGACCCGTGTTCGGTATTGCTGCCATCGCTTGACCTTTCACGATTAAAAATAATATTTTTTATCGTTCAACAGGAGTACGGCCGCGAGACATTTCTTCCTTTCTCTCTCTATCTTTCCTCCATCCTTGATCTTTGTCTCGGAGTTTGCCTCTCGGCTCTAGCTCGATTTATTCGAGTCCGAGTTGAAATCTGAACATACACGAGGCACATCGTGACGCCGTTGCGTCGCGCCGCGTCGCAAGTAGTACACGAGACGAGGAGAAACAAGGCGAAACGAGGCGAAACGAGGCGAAACAAGGCGAAACGAGGCGAAACCCGACGAAACGAGAGGACCGCAGAACGGAGCAGACGACCGCCGTCGAGGGCAGCGGAGAGGAGAGGAGAGCGAAAGAGAGAGAGGAGGGCAACAGGATAGAAGAGTACGGAGCAGACTTTACGCACAAACACACGAATGCGAAGAAGCAAAATCCGCGAATGCGCGCGACTGCTAACCAGTAACAGAGATAACGACGGCCAGTTATTTTTGTAACGTACTGGCTAGCAACAGTTTCTTCGTATCGTACACGCTAAGTCGTTCACGAGAATATCGATGTAAACAATAATTTATTCCCATTGACGTTCCTATTGGGCAATGCAACAACCGTCCAGCCGGAGTTTCTTCCTTTCAGCGTGTCTCGCGTTTGGCCGATAATGCGATGGTCACCATTGAAAACCTTTCGCTTCTCGGGGGTGATTTCGAAGTAAAACGAATTCGATCGGTTGGCTCGCCTATACGATACGATTGCCCGAACAAACGATGATAAACGAAAACAACGATTCGTTATGTCGACGATATCGCTCGCTCGAGAATGGGATCGATCGGACCGAGAGAATCCTCGAAAACGCGAAAGGGCGGATGTTACCGCCTAAACGAGCGAACGGAATAGGAACGAGGAAGAGGAGACGTCGATAATTCGGTGAGATTATCGTCGATATTATCGTCGATATTATCGTCGATATTATCGGCGATATTATCGGCGATATTATCGGCGAATGCGAGGAATTTCAAGCTTGTTCGGTACTCGAATACTTTGCTCGAATATCGCCAACAACAGCAACGGCAATTACAACCGGGACCTCAACGACAACCGCAATGGTGAACGCAACGACAACCGCAACACCGACGACACCATGCAACGACGACACCGACGTCGACATCCACATCGACAATTATAGCAGCCAACGTACGAAAAGCATGAAACCGAAGGAGGCGGGGACGGCGTGGGCGTACTGGAGGCGGGACTGCAGGATATTGAAAATGGCGCGATCGTAGAGACGAGCGGCGCAGAAGCGGTGACACCACTACCGCTTCTGCCGGTCGGACAATGATAGAAACATCCCTTATGACCTATGTCCGAACAGGTAATGTAAGCTACACGGTCCCCTTCGCCTTCCGGGAGGGAAAGAATAATCGGTTTGCAATTTCCTTCGTAACTTTACAGTTTCCTTGAAACTTGAGGAATTCGTTTTCGATCTCGGAACAACACCGGTCACTCCGACAGATGTATCGTGCACGCGAACGTATTGTTTCTGTACGTGGTTCGCCGAAAGCGAGAATGCAAGCTGAAATAGTGGGTCGACAGGCGGTAAAATTCGAACGGAGTATCGCGTTGATCGCAAAGCTCGTCCGGACAATGAGTCGAATTGGCAAAACGGCGAGGGTCCCTGGCGAGTGGACAGCAACGACAGAAACAAAAGTAACAACAGCTACACAACAACGATGGCTTTTGCAGCTCCACCACGAACGCAACATCGAATACGAACCATGTACAAACACGACGAATAGAAGCGGCATCGCCGTAGCCGCCGCCGCCACCGCCGCTGCCGCCACCGCCGCCACACCTCCTTCTTTTCCACCACCATCACCACCACTACCATGAAGAAGAGCAGCCGCGTCGACAATTCGCCGAGCCGGGGGCAAGAGAAGCAACAGTTTCCGAGGGAGGGGATAACCGGCAAGGCAGCAAGGCTCCGTGTTGCGGCAGGGAAATCGGCTCGACAGTCACGCGCATCGCTCGACGATGAATCGTCGTTACGGTACAGAAACGCTCTCCCCGACTACGACCGATCACCATCAAAACCACCATCACCATCATCGTCACCACCATCATTTGCAGACGGAAACGTCCCAACACACCGTGCTTTCGTCGACGACTCACCGGCGCTTGGACGAGCAGGAGTTGCAGTCG